AAAAAAAACAAAGTCAAGGAATTATTGATCAATTGATCTATCTTCCATTTATAATCTTATGATCTGAATTAACATTTAAAAAGAACAAGAATCATAATACCTATTGTTACAATTTTATATGTTTCTTGTTTATGTTGATTTAAACAACAAAAAGTACAACATGAATAAAAATTTTTATAGATGTTCTCAAAATTTTGTAATCGATTTTAATTCTTCACGATACTGTTCCTATAATATTTGTTGGTCGACGTTTTATTCTTTTCATTAATGAAGTTTTCAATGGTTCTGTAATTTCTAAAATAGCAATCAACACAAATATCAACGATACATTGATAAATGAAAAAGCAATACGAAAATGATATTTAGGTGCAGCATTAAAAAATGACATAATAATGAAGGTTTGATAAGGAAAATCAAGCGCTACTACAATAAATAGAAGTAAAACTATACGTCGAATCATTTTTAATTCTCGTTGAACATGAAATAATCTATTAACTGAAATAACGTGTTTACTCATTTCATGTACACAACGAACCATTTTTAAATAGATTAATATAATACCTTGCATAGGAAATATATAAATATAACATGCATTAAATATCGTTAGAAATGAAAGTTCGAGAGGCATTTCATATATTTGATCATCAGTAAGATATTTTATTTGACCAGTAAATACTAATAGAATCGGATAGATAATACAACAAATCCATGTTAAACTAATGAGACAAGTTTGAAATTTAATTGATTGATAAAATAATCGTGATGGATAAACAATTAAGATATATCGATAGATCGCTTGTAATAGATAAGAATAATTTTGTATTGCAACTAACATATAACCAAGATAACGTATAAAAAGACATAATGAATTGTAGAAGTAAATTTGTTTAAGATCATTGTGGAATGTAAAGATAGTAACAGCCAACAAATCAACACCAAATAGAAGTTCAGCTAAACATGAATTTGTAATAAGTATCATTGCAACTTTTTGATATAGTTTATCAGAAATAATAACAAATAAAAAGATTAAAGCAAGTATAATAGAAATGGTACACCATATCACATTCAAAATGTCAATAGGAATAAACCACGATTGTACATCTGGTGTAGTAGCATTATGGTCTAATGTCATTATTTCTATTAGAAAAAAAGAAAGAAATATACAAGATAAATGAGTTCATATAACATATAGTAAATACCAGCATTGATCAACAAGCGAAATCGGACTTCTTGATAAAACCTTGGCTTCAGGTTTGTAGAGAATTCTATCTCTTTTTTTTTTTTTTACAAACAGTTTATGTTTTAAATCAAGAGCATATCTATACTTATAAGTACGATATAGTTTTTCAGGTATCAAACTTAGAAACTAAGGATGGATGACACTAACAGGAACAGACTAGACTTAAATTTTCCAAATCAAACAAAACCTGTCTTCATATGATGTCCTGTTTCAAATATAATCAAATTTTATCCAAAACTTTATATCAAGATCAATCCAGCTATCAATTCTTCGACAAGTTTGGCTCACCATGTTTTACCAATACATGTTACACATTATCATGCCTATGTCAATAAGATCTCACTATATTTCTTTTCTGTGATAATAAGAGTTAAAAATACACTTTCTTGTTGTAGCGCTTTCCCCACGCTCTTTCATATCTAACCCCTCAGAAATAAAAAACAAAACAGTCGAACACTAGAAATAATATATCTCAATATATCACATTTTCTTAGTATCCCTAATGGTATGTTTCAGAATCTAGCGCAGATCGAACACTTTTAAAACAGATACTTCAATGAAATTGAGTTCAACATCTAGAGAAAATTTGCTGTACTCAATGATATACTCAAAAGATAAGTTATAGTTATAGTTATCCTGTAGATAATCTTAAAAATAAATTGTTTATCAATATCTTTAAATAGTTGCACATCATATTCTTTTATTCTTTAGTCAATAACCGTGGAACAAAAGAATGATTGGACTTGAAGCTTTTTGTATAGATACTAGATTATATCAGCTACAATATGGATGAAACAGGATCATTACAGCTGATATGATTGTCGAGATATGATCTGTCTAAAAACATTTCTTCTGCTTATTAATGAATTCTAGTACTCACTGTACGTTACGGTCAAAACTGTAATTCAATCAAATTGTGCATTCATATGGCTAAAATTCGAATTTTGACCAAGTCTTCAATGGAAAAAAAATCTCGAAGTTTAGTTTTGTTTGAAAGAAACTATAGAATTCAACCAGCAATTTAGTGCTACACTGCCATATTATTCAAAAGTTAAAAAGAAAAAACATTGCTAAGACAAGTAATTAATTGTTCTAGATTAGAAAACAGATTGAAAAACATGAGCAGAATATTTTAAGAATATCTTATTTTGTCATCTTATAATCAAAGTAGAAAGACTTATGCTCATTACAACATCATTAAAAAAATGACAATATCATACGCTATGACTAGTACATGGTAAAGAATGAGAACTTTCTTCTTGTTTAGGATAATGTAGGCGTATGTAAAAGTAGCACTATATTTGGTTTATGAAAAGTCCTATTTTCAACTGGGATTATCAACAAAAGTGAATTCATATCTTAAAACATTTGGTGCTAGTTTGAACTGAACAGTTGAGTCACAAGCTAGTGAACTTCATCAATCGAAGCATACTGAGAATCGTTAAAAAAAAAGATCTCACGCATGCTCTTATCCATATATTGTTATTGGATAGAGTCAGGCCTTAATTCTTACAAAATGATTTGAATATCTAAATAAATAACAATAGAAATCTCTAATAATTATTTGACTACCGCCAGATTATTCTAGTCGTAGACAACAGTCAATTCAATATTAATCTGAACATATAGAATTTGTATCTTGCCTCTCATTTAATTTATTAATAATGGACACGAAGACGATTATGATGCTGTACGAGAGAAAGAAAACTAATTAGAGGAACGTCAAACTTTGCTTAGTCACAACAAATATTATAATACCTAGAATTCTGTTATGTGAAGGGCTCAAAACATTGAAAGAAGTAACGTGTCTGAGTTTGTATTTGACATTTAATTTAAATACAATTTATCTTCAGAGACACATCGAAATTATCTAAAGCCATGTTTTTAATGCTCTTGACAAGCCTTAAAAAGTGTATTTAGATTTAGAGTGAAATTTCGATTGTTTTTCAGAAATCACGTGCGTAATTTATTTTAATTTATCTAAATTTTGTCCTCTCACATGATAGAAGTTAACACGTTGTTTGTTACTGTAGTAAATAGATTATTTTCATTATCGACAAGGAGAATCGACTCTTCATCTTCACTATTATGTTAAGTTTGTGATGTTGCTTATCTTTTGATAGATCTAGTTTTTGTACTTTCATTTTTTGATTGAATCAATTTATCATGTAATTTTTCTAGACCACGACCTTCGAAACGCTTTTCTTTGTTTTCCCGTAATTTATTAAAGTAAAAAGTGTGATTATCTACCATTTAAATTAATAAATATAAATAACATAATCAGGTACACATAACCTTTTATATGTAAGAGATATTTGCGTCTTATCGATATAGTAGAAGAAGCAAACATGAAATTATGAATCAGTATGATACATACATTCCTTTTAATCGATGAGAGTGAAAATAAACCAAAAGTAATGTATATTTCATAATTTTAATGCAAGCATTTTTATTTTCAAATTCTCTAGATAGACGTATTAATAAATTTATCAGGTTATCATATTTACACGAATTCGCTTCACAATGCTTTGTAACCGAATCGTTTCTATTTCTAGTAGCGTTATTACATTTTATTACTCAAAGAATAGTTTTTAAAAAAAATATGTGATTAGAAAAAAAAGGAAAAAATTATAGCACTATTTTTATTACGTTATAAATCATCTATTTATCCTTAATAGAAAATAAATTCAGAAAAATTAAATAATAAAAACTCTAAACTATGATTTGTTTTAAGCATTATCTAAGTTAACTTGATGAACCATCGGTTTTCCACTAAAAAAATTGAGTAAATTATCAACACTTATTTGTATCATTTGATAGCGTACTGATAGATCACCACCACCAATATGTGGCACTATGATACAATTATCGAGTGTTAAAAGAGGATGATCTGTAGGCAATGGTTCAGGTACAGTAACATCCAAACCTATTTAAATAAAATACAAATTTTATATTTATTATTATTCGAAAAACTATTTACCTGCAGCTTGAATTTGACCATTTTTTAATGCATCATAAAGTGCATCTTGATCTATAATACCTCCTCGTGCAATATTAACTAAAATAGCATCATTTTTCATTTGCTCAAAAGCTTTTCTATTAAACATATTTCGTGTTTCATCATTTAACGCACATGCAATAATAACGAAATCAGATAGACGCAATAATTCTTCAAATTGAACAAATTGAAATAATTTTTTATCATTTTCCGAATCAAATTGTTTTTCATGTTTACCACAATAAAGAATACGTTGAATAGAAAATGGTTGTAAACGACGCGCAATAGCTAAACCAATATGACCTAAACCAACAATTCCAATGGTTGAATTAGCCAAAGGTTTACCACACATCCATCCTATATCAGATGATGTGCCCCATTCACCATTCTATTTAAAATCAATGATAAAAAAAAAGAAAAAAAATATTTATTCTTGGACTGATGTCTTACTCTAACAGCTCGCATTGCTTCATTAATTCTTTTTGACGTTACTAATAATAATGTAACAGCTAAATCTGCTACGACATCAGCTATTACACCTAAAGAGTTCGAAATATGGCTTAGCAATCAATTCTCAGTTATGATAATTTTTTTCTACCTGGTGCATATCCAATAGAAATACCGCGATTTTGACATTCCTTTACATCGATATGATCATATCCAACTGAAGTCGTCGCTACCATTTTAAGTTTATCTCCTGCTATCGATAATAACTCTTTGTCAATTAGTATTTTTCCAAAAAGAAGCATTGCATCCGGTGGTTGAGCACGAATACGAGATAAAATTTGTTCTTGAGATACAGGTGTAGCTATATCTTGATAATCAAGATCAAAAACAGGTTCGAGTGCACGAATAAATTGTGAAGGTATTTGATTGTTTATTAAAAGACGTGGCCGAATAATAGATGTCATTATCTAAATATAAATAACTGCTTCTGTTTTGAGAATATCTCCACACATAAAAAAAAGACGAAAAAAAGAGACAAAAGTCAAGACAATAAGAGCAACTATTAAGTACTTGCAGTGATTGGAGCGGAGTAGTATAGGAAAGGAGGCATTTCGAAAGGAGTTTTTCTAGTAAAAAAATAGAAGGAAAATGAAGGAAAGAAAGAATTTCTATCGAAACACTGCTTATGAAAATAGAAAACTGTAAAAAAAAAAGTTCAGTAATAAGAGATGATATTAGAGCTCGAACAAAAGATCTGTGTGCCTAATCCTGGTGGAAATTTTTTCCTATCTAACACTAGTCGACATATCAAGGCTTAATTGTCACTTTTCTCATATTTCATCAATAATCAATGAATTTCGTCTTGAACTTCGCAGAGATTTGATTAATTTACAGCATCGTTTTTTTCTTCATCTTTTTCGTACAATAATAGATTTCTTAATAACTTCCCATCTCAGAATAGACGATCAATCCATTAGAAGGCCATGTGTTAAGTTTTTGAAATGTGTTTTATGTCTCTTTTTTTGCTTTCTATTCAATCATCGTTACCTATGTAAAAAAAAAGAAAAGAAGAAAGAACCAGCATACAACTCACCAAATATCATTGGATTGTTTACAAAAAAAAAATGATACGCAAAGATTCACTTTTTAATCATTTCAAAAATCAATATGAATAAGCCATAGATTACAACTGACTCATATTACACTGTCACATCTGTATAGTTTTTTTTACTTTATAAAGAAAAACTAGTCGAGTTTCAACGCTTATCATCATATCATTCGAAAGAACAAAGTAAAATATTTCAAAACGTGGTGTAAGTCAAACATTGGTTATTGTTTGTTCGTAGTAATACCTTCTTATCAATGCGAAAGTCACACTTGCAGCAATAAGATAATCATTTAAAATGAATATTCTTCGGCCTTAGAAAAACCATTTCACAGTGCCGTCGGTACATTGTTGAATCCCTAATTGTACTTAGAAAGAATTCGTGTAGGTGTGGGTGTGAATCTTCTCTTCGGTAGCATCCATACCCACACCCCACACCCCTCGAGTTTATGAGCATTTTCATAGAGAAGACCGATGCTACCTAATGTGTAGCCAATATCAGGATGCTGATTGGGTCGAGACTTTTCAAGAATATTAAGAGCTCGTTCGTAATATTCCAGCGCCGTATCATATAGTCCAAGAGAACAGTAAATATCGCCAATGTTATGCAACGATGCTGCAATATCCGGATGATCGACGGGAAAATGTTTTTGTTGGATAAGCAGCGCTTTTCGATGACATTCCAGTGATTCGATGTACTGTTTTTCTTTTTCATATACAACACCCATATTGTTTAGACACCAAGCTACTCGCCGATGGTTTTCACCATGTATTCGTTGCCAAATTTCTAAGGCTTTGTTGTATGACTGGAGTGCTAGTTTGTAATCGCCGTTACCTTTGAAACTGAGGCCAATATTATTGTAGCTATTCCCAATGTCCTCGTGGTCTGATGGCAACGTCCGCAATCGAATCTCGAGTCCTTTTTGAAGCCATTCGAGACTAGTTTGATACTCACCTTTGCCTTTGGCAGCTTCGCCAAGTCCATCATAGCAATGAGCACAATCTGAGTGATTACTCGGGAGTTGATTGAGAAGACGTTGAAAGTACTTATTGGCTTCATTAAACTTGCCCATATCATTCAGTAAATCGCCAAAGTCACGAAGACTTGGTTCTTCTATGCTGTTATTGCCAATTTCACTTTTCATCAATTCGTAGATAGGTTTCGAATCATGACTATCATTGTTACACAATGTCAATCGAACGATGTAAACTAATCGATTTTCTTTTTCTTGCTGTAGAATAATAGACTCAACGCGAAATATGCTGCAGAGCATCATGAGAATTTCTTCTTCGACCGGAAAGTAACTTTGAGCTGTAATATTAGCAAATGGTTTCACGTTATCTAATCGAGGATCAGCATCGATTTCGAACAGAATTCTTGGCAAGGTGTCGGATGCAGTCGAGTCGCCTAAGTAAAAGAGTGCCAGTTCACGACTGATACTTGTCGAAAGAAATGAATTCATCGAAATGAGTTGACCCACAGAATTTTCTAATACATTTAGCTCTTCTATTGATATTATTTGACCACGATATACACGAATCGGTGACGAACATTGATGTTGCTGGAGTTGCTTGTAAATGTCACGAATGAAGAATCGAAAGAGAAAGAGAAGATCGATATTTCGCGTTCGCAAAGCTTTATTCAACAGACGATAAAAGAAAGAATCTTTCGTATACCATAGAAGAGCTCGTTCAGATGAATACGTTCGTTTGAATTCCTCGAGAGTAGCAAGCCTAGATATGTTACCGCTGTACTCTTTTTCACACACCGCCAAAAGCTCATTTTTGTCCATCTCATTTGGTGTCATTCGGAGTAGAGTACCAATGAGTAATTGTAAAAACATGAATTCACCATTGAGACCCGTTGACGATCGATCCGCATTGATACTTACATTAAAAACACTGATTGAGATGGAATCATCGACTTCTTGATGACGGCGTCACGTCTGATGATGATAATCTGATTCGAGCTTTTTTATAATTTCATTGAGGTTGGTATGAACTGCTTTGATCTTTTGACTGAAATTTAAAATCGTCAAATCATCATCTTTATCGTTGTTGTACACGTAAATACATGAGACTTGTCGGAGACCGTGAATACGAGAAACAATCTCTTGACTCGATTGACTGCTGATAATGAGTACAATTCGATCACCGTTCAGTATATTCTCTATATATTTTTGGCATTCGTCAACGTTATTGAATATCTTCAAATGATTTATGATTGTGCGGAGGTGTTGTTTATGAATTTTGTGGTCTTTACATGATTCGTTTATCATAGCATCGAGCCAAACGAGACAGTATGTCTCGAGATTGTCGTGTGGATTTGTTAATATTTTGGGATCATTCGTACAAATTGCCATGTTCGCCGCAACAGTAGATGATTGAAATTCTTACGAATTATATCATATGATCGAGCAAATACCTGCCACTTATGCTATAATCATTTCCTTTCTTCCTAGATTAAAACATATTTAAGACAGAGAATCCATGGGAAATCAAGCATCTGCGATAAAAATCCTACCATGAAAACAATTGTTACTCCAGTCGATTACGAGACTCATGGTTGGCTATTACCCATTAGAACCTCTTCTGAAATCACTCTTGAAATGCTTGTACGATGCAGTATATGTTCTCTAACTACAGAATATGGTGTCCAGTTAGCGAAAACAGATGAGCGAAAGGTTATGAGGGAAAGAGCAGGGAAAAACAAACTTACGAAAGTAAGATGTAAGTAATTCAAAAATCGAGTAAAATTTTTTTCTTCTGTATTTTTACATGGTTCGATACGGAGAGAAAGCTAACTTCTGTTCTTATTCATTCTATTTAAGTCGATGAATTTTTTCTTAATTCGGTTTTTTATTGTTGCTCATGGTACATATGTTTACGATAGCGTGAATTTATGCTTTTATTATCTAAAGTCTAATTTTGGTTTTTCGTTATATTATTGCTCTATCTATTTTTAATGTATATAATTGTTATGAAAACTGAAATAAATCTTCAATCATATGTAAGATTAATCTAGGAGAAAAGTGTTTTTCTTAAATTAAAAGATTTAGTCTAGTCTCATCTGAAATAAAAATAATCAGCTCTGTAGCAGTAATTGTTTGATCGAACGTCCATCATATTTTATTTTGAAATAAGATTACCTTTGATTGATACAATATTGATTACACCGAAAAGGTAAATTAACTTCACGATGAGTTAATGTTTTTCTAAGTTGTATTTAGAGTGTGGATGTGTTTGGTGTGAGAGTATGTTAGGTATGTGAGTGTTTTTGGTGTGTGGGTATCTGACTTCGCTGTCTTCATTAGCACCCCATCCCCACCTCCATCTGCATACTCACATCCCACATCCACACCCGTTTTGGGCGAGCATATATAGAAAGCAAAAGTTCAATGGCACAATCTTAAATAACTCTATTAGATTGGCGTTGAGTTAAAATAGCTTCTATCAAACAGAATGCAATCTTTAACAGAAAGAAACAAATTGAAAAAGAAATGTCAATAAAGGTGCAACGATCGAAGCGGTATTGACTTTTGTGTTGTTTTTTTTTTGAAAAATAATATATCGTCAACTTTTTTCTTTTTTATATGATTTATACGAATTGCATAAATATGAGTAAGCGTTACAACATACAAAAAAGAATATAAGAAAAGGTTCCTTGTTTTACTGTAGCAATCATTGATGCCTAAATCGCTTGTGTTCTCCTTAACAAAAAGAAATAAACAAGGACTCAGGTAGAGATGCTTGAAGACAACACTTTTTTTCTCGTTGTAGTATACGTAATAAACATTATCCCATTAGATTATACGTCAATCAAAACTTCATTAATTATTTTTATGCACAAAAATGAGGACGATGAATAATAAAGGCACAAAATATAGATTGGAACCAATTATTTAAGTACATAATTTTTGATCACAAAAGAAATCGTTTACAAATTAGTACATATAGTTATCTTTCAATTAGATTTATAAACACGAATAAAACTATCTCAAAGTACGATTGAGATTCTATCTCGTTCTCTGGAATTCGGATATTCTAGCAGAAAAGCATTTTAACATTGGTGAAAAATCTATTTAGCAAGTTCAAATGAAATTGACGTCTGTGGAGTTCGATTGTTAAGAAAAAGTTTTATTTTAAAATTTTCATCGTGCAGATGTGAACTCAAGAAAATTTAATTTCAAAGTTAAGTTGCAGTAAGAGTTATAGAAAGAGTGAACAGTATCTGGAGTTGCCCATCTCTGATTATGTTCATACTCATTTGGCTTCATCTTGCATATAAGACGATGAAAAACTTGTTGCTGTGCTGAGTATTGTTTGATATTTATCTTCAGTACACTGTTCGAAATTGCAGCTCAATATATGACAATCTTTACTAATAAGACTTCTGGACAAAAGTTCAATTTTTTCATCTTTTAAGAGCCATTATTTTTCTGATGTGAATAATTTGTGATCTACTGATTCTGGTCGTCATCTGTATTGGTTCTCATTTTTCAACTGATATTGTGAAACTATGATTCAATGAGCATCTTCTAATTCATAAAGCGACAAAAAAATACATTCAGCTACCTTCGATCACGATTCTTCGCACTGTCTGTGTCACTCATTGTAAAATTTAAGTGAAGATAACAAATTTTATTGCTATTGTCACAGATCTCTTCTTTTCATCATAAATTCTTGTCAAGGTTTATGACAGGATAGATTACGCTCATAAACCTAAAAAAGAGTCTATGACAATGGTAACGAACGGATATGAAGATCCATTATTCTACGTTTATTTTTATAGTGCTCTAACAATCTGACTCTTACACAACAACACTGTCGTGTCAAGATTCATAAGAGAATCATATGATATGCGACTGCATGAATGACATATCAGAGCATTGTTATGTTTGTTAGTCTTCTATGAAGAAAATCAAGCGTGATGACGATCATGAGTGTCGATTGAATGAAAAGTGTGCGACATGTCTCGCCTAAATTCGTAGGCTATGTTCGAAAGCGATTTTCTGAAAGGAATCCAGACGAGTCTATTACCTTATTTTTATTTCTTTTTAACAGGCAGAAATGTGTTAGAGAGTGAGTAGGATGTGGATTGTTTATGAAATTATGCATACTTTCCGATCATGCACAGGAATAATGGTTGCTGAAGTGATAAAGTGCACTTTTTACACACGTATCAAAGTGCATGCCTTTATCTGTTGATCATGTGCTCATTTGTCTTTTCTTCCCACCGCACTTTCTTTATAAACCCAATCGATATCAATACTAGGCACTTCATATTCGCTACACAAATTGAAAGAATGCATTCACTCACAGTCGTCGCTTTTCTTACACTGGTTGTAGTTTGTGTCGCGTCAGTCCAAACGTCAGAAGTTCATGATGGTGAGTAACTATTATCAAATCTATCTTGAAAACTATTGCAATACTTGACAGGTACGTGTCCAAGTCCACCCTTCCACATTATGTGCCGTCGACGCATCGTGTGTTTGCCTGCAATGACTGAAATCAAATGCCATGGTGACAGTGAATGTCGATCGAATGAAAAGTGTTGTCATGTTCCTTGTTCGTGTACGACCCGTTGTGTTGAAGCTCGTCAAAGTTGATTTTTTTTTCACACGGATTAATGTGTTTGACATGAAGGAAACAGAATAAATAAATACTGGCAAATATCAGCTATGATGATTATTTTGTCCTGTAATATGTTCTAATAGTTCATCGGTTGAATAAATGCGTTTATTTATTTGAATGAACGATTCTTTTTTTGAATAGGTAAATGATCGTGTATATTAATTCGTTAAATAACTACTAATGAATATTGTTTATTCTTTAGTTAAAAATGGATTCTGTAGAGAACAGAGAAAAAAACTTACAAATAAGTGTCATCGAAGTAGTTCCTGCTGTGAAAGAAGCAGAATATGATATCTTAAAATATCATAATGGAATATATTGGCGATTTCTTTTTCTTAATTCAGTTGTATTATGGGCATATCAATCATTAATATTTGCACAGAATTACTATATAAGATTTTTTTCTACATGATTATATAGATTTTTAGGGAACAGTAGTAACTGGCTCATCAATATTTTTTCTTCATAAAATTCAATTAACTAAAAGGCGAAATTTTTGAAAAGAAAATGAAATCTGAATCAATGAATGATAGGAGAGATATTATTGAAATACTGAGAAGCCCATTTTTCCTAGGACACCTGTTAGTTGTCATTTACCATAGGCTAATAAGTCTCGCCTATAACGATGAATCTAATAAGATTAAAAGGTATAGTTTTTTTTTGCAAACTAAATCTAATAAATATTTTCTGTTAGAATGGATGAATACTAGTAGTATGAATTATGCTCGATATTTATCATACAGCATCGGTATTAACAAATACAAATGTATTAGTTACTGATGAATACAATGGAATTTATTTAAATTTCCAAACAATGAAATATTTCTTTTGAACTCTTTACGTATTGATTGTATCTTTAATAAACTCATTTAATAACAATAAATTATTCTGCGATTTCTATATTCGTCACAAGTGGTTAATTCTTATAACAACAAGATTCATTTTATTAATTAAAATAAAATAAAACTAATTAAAACTTTTAAAGATTTATAGTTATAAGATTTTCTTATATTATGATTGCTTGATTATTTTCGAATTACGCACTATATTGTAAAAACTAATAAAATAAAGATAATTTCAGTCTAAAATTTTGTCAAGAAAAAGATTTTATAATCTTTATCAAATGCAAAAAGTTTTCACGATGACTACTAATTGTTTTTTTCTGGTCCATTTTCACATGCCAGATTTTCGAAAGATATTCTCAAATGTTTCTCTGAAAAATTTCCAGAATTTTTTTTGGTTTCTGTGAACTTGCAACTTTTGACAAAAATTCTTATGAATTTTATAACAGTTTTTTTTAGACTCTTTCACCATGATTTTTAGAAACTATCAAAACAATATAAACATGAATAGATATCAGGTAATAGAAGATAACAAAACAGTCCATGATTAGCTTTTATTAAATGGAAAAAAGTTATTTCTATGACAAGAAAGCTTATTATTGGTTTATATTACATGAAAAGAAGAAGAAAATTATAAATTTAGTTTTGTGCTAAATGTATTATATAAAAGTCTATTTAGACTTGAATAGTTTTATCATAGTATCGTTCATAAATATGAATTATCTACCTATGATTTGATTCTTTCTTTTCAAAAACTTTCAAAGTTGTCAACGATTTTCTCAAAAAATCTTCTTTATTAGTAGTTTTATAGAACAACGTTTGGAATACTCAACGTATTCATCGATGGAAACAGTTCGAACCAGTAATTGATCAACTAACAATTTCTACGAACATGCCACTGATGATAGATCTTATTTATAACTATCCTCGATTAGTTTTTATGTAATAGAAATTAAAGAAAAAAAAAGAATAACATCATTATCTACCTTAACCATTAAATTTGCAGTTTCTTCGCTCAAACTTTTGATGCACATTCAACAGTGACTGAAATAAATGAGAAAATTTTGATACGCGGTTTATGTCCAAAAAAAAAAGAGAATTCCTTCATTGTCATAATTAAAATATATTTATATCTTGCTTAGATTTTTATATGTGTTCATGCTAAATCCCTATCGTTTCAGAGGAATCCTGGGGAGCTTATAATAGAAGTTGCAACAGAAAATGACCTTATTAACTAAAATACAAATAATGAATGAACTAGTAGACTTCTCATACAAAGAAATTGATGCAACCTGTAGAGATGCAGAATACGGATGATTCAAATTTTGTAGTGAAATGAATTTTCATTATAGATCAATATAACATTATCTAAACGAAAAGTATGTTTCAATTACCCAAAATTTCTGAACTGGTGATGTATGAATTTGAACCAAGTTAAAAATGAAAATGATAATGATTTTTCATTTTTGTTAGACCACCAACCGACTCCATCTATAATATTAACTGTTTATTACTTCTTCCTTATTTCTGTTTCTTGCTATTGCCTTATAATTATATTTCATCTGATCTTGTATTTAATATTTTTCTTCATTCTTGTCAATCATATAGCTCGATAGCGGTGATTATATTTTTTTCTTTTTTCTTGTTCTAGAATCTCTACAATGAGAAGGAGATAGTACACTGACGAAGGAAGAAAATCTTTAGTATTAATTTTTCAAATGTCTAAATCGGAACTCTGTTTTATCAGTAAAGTGAGTGAATATATTTTTCGATCAATTTTCAATACAAGACAAATAAATGGAGATAATGATGATTAATACACGTTCAATATGCAAATTGTGTAAAATACTTGATTAGTCGCTAAAAATATGTGAATACATTTTTTAGAACTAATCAATGAAAATATTGATCCGTTAGACAAATGAATTGAAATAAAATAATGTGTATTTCGATTGAAACAATAGCTGTTTAAAAAAAAAGATAAACATATTGAGTCAATGTTTTTTATAATAATAATAAAAGAGAACATAACCTTTAATACTTCTTTCAAAAGGTTGTTTTGATCTTGATAAATTTATTTTCGATTGACTTATTTAGATATGATTATAACACCATTATTATATCAACCAGAAACGCAATCATTTATTTTCTTAATTTTAAATATTATCATTATATTCTTGATATCTTTTTTTATTCAATCATATTCATTTATTTTATTATTTATTTATTTTCTTATTATTATATTCATATGTAGAAAATTAGCACATGGTCATTCATATATTCCATCAAAAAATACAGATTTAACTGGACAAACAATAATAATTACAGGAGCAGCATCGGGTATTGGTCGTGTAGCAGCTATTGAATTTGCTAAATTAGGTGCAAAAGTTATTCTCGGTATACGTGATCAAAATCGAGCTGAACAAGTTGCTCAAGATTTAGAAAGTAAAGCAAATATTATTGGTACTAATAAAATAATTGGTTATGATTTGGATTTATCAAATCTTTCGATAGTAAAAAATTTCGCTGAGAAAATTCTTAAAGATGAAGAATATGTTAATATTCTGTTAAATAATGCTGGTATAGCATATATAAAACATACATTAACATTTGATGGATTAGAAATGGATTTTGGTACAAATCATATTGGACATTTTTATTTAACAAAACTTCTTTTACCATTATTAATTAAATCAAAAGGACGTATTATTAATGTTAGTAGTATTGGACATTGTTTTATAGATAATAAAATTAATTATGAATTTCCTAGTTCATCTTATGATGCACGATTAGCATATAATCAATCTAAATTAGCACAAATATGGCATGCTTATCTATTACAAGAACGTTATGGTGAACAAGGTATAAATGCATATTCATTACATCCAGGAATAATTTATACAGGATTAACACGACAAATACCGAAAGTTTTCGAATTAATTTATCAATTGATTTTATTTATAGTTGGAAAATCATTATATGAAGGTACACAAACAAGTTTATATTGTTCATTATCTAATAAAGCTAAACCAGGAAAATTTCATGCAGATTGTAAAGAAGCAAAATCAAGTCCATTAGCTTATAATAAAATATTAGCTGAAGAATGTTGGAATTTTAGTGAAAAAATAATCAATGAAAAAACGAAAGATTTTTGAATTACAACATTTAATCTATCGATCGAATCATATATATTATCTTCAATGAAGATTACAATTGTTCATTTACCTCATGTGCCATATAACTAGCACTAGATCATTTAATAGTAAAAATTCATTTATTTTTTTGATAGTTTGTAATTGTAATCTCCTCAATGTCGTATTGTGTACATTGATTACAATAATAAAAGTTTTTCTAAAATTCATTTAACACTTTCGATATTGTACAAATTTAAGAACCATTTTACTCAATTTTTCTATCTGAATGTATTCAAATATCAATTAAATATTTAAATAAGAATAGAATATTGACAATGTGTAAACAATCAAAATCTAGATTTTCATCAACCATATTTTAAACAATTATATAAATATTCAATATACTAATTCATGTAGATGGTTGTTCAAGGATGCTACAAAAGTCATATTTTATGTTTATTGAAGCTTTCAACGGATGACATTAGAAACAACAATGATATAAAAATAAAATTTATTAATTATGTAATTTTTTTTTCTATTGAATGCAGTTTAATTGAATTATTGATTTAATTATGAGATTTTCTTGAATTTCATTACAGTCTTAACTTATGTGAGTCAGTGTTTTCTGTGTCTTTTTTGAATTTCTTGAATTACCAATTTCTGGATCGTGTGTGGGCACCGTTTAAGGGAAACAACCGTTTAAGGGAAAATATGGACACCATTGTAGAGGCACATGGAATCATTCAATGGTGACTGGTTTAGCACAAAAAGCTAGCCATAAATAGAATATATGGACCTTTGAAAAATAGAATTATGTATTATTACTTCTGTTTTTATCATAATATATTCATTTTTGAGATTTTTAAGATCACATTTAAATGTTCAACTTATTCTACCGATTTACTCCTGTGTTTTGATTGAGATATTTGTTTAGTGTCGAATTCAAGTTATCCTATGAGATATGTCGACTTGTCTTATGAGATAACTCGAAATATTAAGAATAACTTGCTCAAACCTACGAGGCGACTTATCTCATAGGACAAGTCGAGTTATCTCATAGAATAAGTCGAAATACTAGTTGAGCGAGTAAAAATACTTTAGTTAAAAGAAACGACTTATCCTATGAGATAAGTCGACTCTTGTGACTGAACTACTTTTTTCCAGTATTTCGAGTTATCCTATGAGACAAGTCGACTTACCCTATAGGATAACTCAAAATACTAAGTGAACAAGTGTAAATGTCTCAATTGAAAATAGTGACGAATCCTGTAGGATAAGTCGACTTGTCTCATAGGATAACCCGAATTTTTGGCAAAATGGAATGCCTCGATGACAAGCTACATCTGTTTAAATTTATAAAAAATTCTGTATTAATTTATTTTTTTTCAATTATTGACATATTTTTAAAAGTAATTTAATACACCGAGATGTGTTCCAATTCATGCAACCAATCAGATTTAACATTTGTGCCTCTATCATGGTGTCCGTATTTTCCCTTAAACGGTTGTTTCCCTTAAACGGTGCCCACAATCGTGGTTATATCTCTGTTATTCTAATTCGAGAAAACATAAAGATGTCGTATACAATCAATGCTCGTTATCTTGAATTATTTTAAAAAAATATTAATACGAATAAATATTTTCTATGATATTTTTTACGTATAAATTTTCTTTCTTTTATTCGAATTATTTAAAATTATTTTATGAGAATAAAATCTATTTTGATTGCTCTCGTCTTCGATAGTCTTTTCTTTGTATTTCTCTCTCTTAATCAAACATTTGTTTTTCTTTTTTTGGTTCTACAACAGCCGACAGAAAAAAAAACATAGGATCACATACATATAACCACAAACAAGGCGACATTAGAAGCAATAGAGAAAGAAAGAAAGAAGAAAAAAGACAAGTTTTGTTCTACATCTGAATGTACTTTGAACAAAGTTTCTATTTTGAATTATGGATGATTTAGACGAAGAACAACGTACATTGATTCCTCATTCTTTACGTGAATTAACTTTACATTGCATTTACAAAGGTTTTCAATTAGGTTCTACAGTAACATTAGCAACAGCATTACCCTATCAATTATATAGATCAAGAAAAAATCCATCAATTATTCCAATATTAAGTCGTGTTGGAACAGCAACAATATATGGTGCTGTTGGTGGTGTTCTTCTTAGTATTGCTATGATGCATGGAAAATTATATAAAGAACAATATAATCAATATAAAATATGGGATAGAGCATATCGTCTTAGAAATTCTGCAAGTCAAAATCGAGTCGATAAATTTACATTATCTTCATCTATTATGGGTGGAATAGCAGGTCTTATTATTGGTTTACCAACAAAAATGAGTCCTATATCAGCAACTAAAGGAGCATTAATGGCTATTCCATTTGGAATACTTGCACATATTATTATTAAACCATTACAAAATCCATCTATTGAAACACATAAAGATTAAAATTATATATTTAATATAAAACATTCTAATCGAAATTAAAAAAAGAAAATTCTTAAATTAGTTACAACTTCATTTTTTTTAATAAACCACTGTGATTATTATAAATGATTTCTATAGCTTTCATTGATGTTTATCATTCTAAAATATGTTGAGAAGAAAAATGGATTCTATTCAAAGTTATATATCAAAATAATAAATTTATCTTTATAGTTTGAAAAAACTAACTATAAAAGTGTAGATAAAAAGGTACTAAATAAGTAAGGCATTGACCTCACAGACTTCGCTTCAGTCAATATTAAAAAAAACTATACAAGGATCAGAAAAGTATTGACAGTCCTATTTGATGTTTATAAAACAGATTAAAAATGATCGTTCATGGATTAATGAAATGAAATCCAATGCTACTTGAAATTTGACATCAAGTTAAATATTAACACTCACAGTATTGTTAATGGTCAAAAATATATGTGCCAGATATATAAGTCACATATTGACGACTGCATTTCTAATCAGTATATGTTGATGTAATTAACAGAGTACTGATTGCAAATAATTTCATAAGTTATGTGATATTTAACATTGAATAATTATAAAATAACCAATTAATTATTATTGTTGATAATCAACTCATTTTTTCACTAATAGCCGTACATTTTTTACCTTGCTGTGAAACGAATTCTGACATGTATAAAAATGCTTCATAAAAGCATAGGAAATTAACCTTTCTAAAGAAATATTCCCCCTTTTCACATTACGGCTATGTGATTCTTGTTTTCCATAGGTGACTAGCTCTTTTCATTGAAAAGTCATAAGCGAAAATTGGAGTTATTAGGTAGTGGTGCCATCTCTTATCACTACCTTTCTTTTTCTTTTCTTTCTTCTATGTTGTGTATTTTGTCCTTCGTGAGATTGGAAGATACGGATAGGATGGATTGTTTATCGATAATCTGTTTTTGTTTTCTCCTTCAGTTGAATAAAGAAGTAGTAAAAGTTAGTTATAGTCGAGCAACAGACTAACAGAAGTTCGTTTTTGACTGAAAACGATAGTAAGATTTTGGAAAAGGTAAGGATCGATAGCGTATGTAGAAAAGTATTTACTATTAGAAAAGTTTGTCTTTGTAGCCACGCTTCACTTACTACACATGCTCTGTTGAGTAAGTTACACATTCGTTTTCGTTGCATTTTAACCAAAAGGATATGTTCCAATGACTCTTGTGTGTAGACATACGGCCTTTATTATTATTGCAAATACCTTACAAAGACTTTTTGTATTTCTTTTTTTTTCGAAAAACTCCTATCTACATTAAAAATATGGATCTTTTCGTATTTTCTCTTCGAAGAAGCCGTTATCAAAATAATCATCTACTCGTTTTTGTGGATAAGTCATATGGCTGACAGTTTAGTTAGGTATCTCTTAAATTTCACCTTTTCGCTTGTATATGTATTTGTGTGTAGAAACTTTTTTTGTTCTTTTAGTAAACAGGGTTCATCGCGTTTAATTTTAATATTTTTACGGCCCAACCAAAGATGTAATCTTCGGTAAAGATATTTTTTACATCTCTTGCGTTCTTTTGCAATCCACGATGAAAAGATATTTCCTTCTTCGGTGTCTTTCTTTACCAATGATGGACACAGAGAAATATTCTTAAATCCGTACTAATCTGAGTTTGATAATATTCTTAAACTGACTTTTTTACACTAAAACAGCTATTTAATAAAATAGTTGAGTTAAGAAAAAAATTGTTTAAAATTCAATTTTAGACATATTACTTTCTTAATCCACTTTGTAGATTTTATTTTCTAAGAACTCTTTGAAAAAATTGTTTTTAACTAATTTTCAATTTCTTCTACACATAGGTTGGGATAGTCACCTTGAAGTCTTTTTGTAGAAAATCCAATTTGCCACAAAAAACTATCTTAAAGAAACAACAAACGATGTAAACAAGAACTGATTTATTTATTTTGGATTTTTTAGGCAAATTCTATCTCTGAATTGGCCCTTTTCAGATTAAAAACCGATTCAGGAACCCCTGCAATAGCCAACACAGACTAGTGTGAATTCAAGGACGTTTCTTTGTGTTTCTCGGTGGGAAAAAAGGCAAAATAGCAACTGTTGTGAGGAACACAGAGAAAAAGAAAAGAATGTAAGAGATATCAAAGACAACTATGGTACGGACATACTGTTTTTTCTTTCTACTTGTCTAGAGGATGTATATCTGTGTAGAATTCTTTCTTTATTCTTTTTCATCTATTTATCCATTGTGAATACAGAGCACACACACCGGTTTTTTGTTTGTTTTGGTTATCTTCTATTTACAGTACAATGTCTATCATATAAATATATATGTTGAATTTTTGTTTTAGAAGAGAATCTTTTTGCCTTTCCACACATAAGACAGTCAGTGATAGTACCTTTGAAGATAGATATAAATTCTAAAATTGGTTGGATGAGTACAGTAACAATGAAAGCTGCCCGTTATTATGCTGCAAAAGATATACGTGTAGAAGAAACATCTATTCCTTCTGTCAACAAAAATCAAGTTAAAATAGAAGTAAAATATGTTGGAATCTGTGGATCAGATTTACATGAATATTTACATGGTCCAATAATAATTCCTATGAAAGAACCTCATCCATTAAATGGACACTGTGGTGTAACAATAATGGGACATGAATTTTCAGGTGTGGTTGTTCAAGTAGGAGATAATGTTCACCGTGATAATGTCAAGATAGGTGATCGTGTTGTAGTGGAGCCAATTTTTAGAAATCCAGATAGTTTTTATACAATGAAAGGTGAATATAATCTATCAGAGCCGATTGGTGGTATTGGTTTGACCGGAAACGGTGGATTTGCAAAATATGTAGTTGTCGAAGATTATATGGTACATAAAATACCGGATAGTATCACCTTTGAACAAGGTGCACTGGTAGAACCTGCTGCTGTGGCTGTGTATGCCGTTAAAACCAGTGGTTTACAACTAGGTATCTATCAGTATCCAACTGTTCGATCTTCTTCACTATGAAAACAACCGACTTTCCGTTTAAGATTATAGTTACGGTCTTTTGTTTTCAGATTGATCTTGCACTGAATAGAAAAAGAAGAATTGAGAAAGAAAAATGAATTCTTTGTTTTTATTTTCCTGAAATAAGTAGATACGCTCTAATTATGAGAAGAGAGAAAGTTCACTGTCTACACCGATGGTTAAATGCTACTCTCTTCCGTCAATACAGTAAGATAGAGAGAGTTCGTTCGTTTTGTCATTCAGCTAGAAAAACTCCACGAAAAAGTGACTACTGATATTGACGTATTCACAACGAAAAAATGGTAGAAATATTTGACTTGACTAGACTTGAGTTTAAAAAAAAAACTCAGACGTACCCATCTTTTGGTTTGAGACGCTCAGTGTATCGAATGCAAAATCCTGAAACATGGTGGGCAAGTTAGTCTCATCGAAACCTTTGTTGCTATACTGGAAAAATGAAGTTCTATAGCGGTGTCCTTTTACGCTCTTTCTAGTCTATATATACCCTACTTGTGGGCAAATTTGAACTCAAAAGCTTTTTAGCACCTCGGATAATTCCTTGATGAACCAACAATCTTGTAAAAAAAAGTGTTTTCTTTAAAATGACACGTCACTTGATTTATGTGAATGGTTTGTTTAAGAGCTATGTGCATCCCTTTCTGTAGACATAGATCAAATATTTTATGAGTCAATAGAGGATAGCAACTCAACCCATTTCAATCTAACGTGCCACGTCGTGTTTCAGTTTGAGTAGTATTCATTCATATGTAACACAGTTCATTTCTCAGAAATTTCCTGTTCATTTAAAATTCAGAAAAACTAGAGGAGCTACTATGTATTTTTGAAGGAACTTTTGATTCTCTTTGAACTTCCAAAAAATATCGATCACAGAATATAAGAAGAACGTGTTTTAATTCTCGTATGCAATATTTGAACTCTCTTTGTATTTAATACATGTTTACTCTTCGCAGAACTGCCTAACTCGAATTGCTACCCATCCTACATTGACACACTGGTGACCATCTTAGAATTTGATCGGATCGAACTCAAATTATTGTAGAACTAATTTAAAAACTCGACTTTTGTTCTGGATCAAAAAAGTTTGTTTTCTTTTTCTCGATAACTCCGAAAGGAAATGTTAGATAAAAATCGCAAAAAGAAAAAAATTTCAGTCTTTTGAGACCGAATTTATGGTAGTTTATTTCAGTCGTCAGGAAAAGCCGAATTATTTCTACAGCTTCTGAGAAACTAGAGAAAAGTGAAAAATTTCAAATCTGTACGAGCTTTTGTGGCTGAACGAAAGAATCATGATAGGGAAAAACTGACCAAAGATCGAACTGTTTGCACATCTATTTCTAATTCTAGGCGAAACCTGTGTAATCTTTGGTGCTGGTCCAATTGGTCTATTATGTCTTCAAGCTGCAATGGCTGCTGGTGCTGCTCGCACCATCGTTGTAGACATTGCCGAAAAACGTCTTGAGAAAGCACGTGAATTAGGTGCTACATTAATTATCAATGGTAAGGAGGAAAATATTTCGCAACAAATTAAAAACTATACTGATGGTCTTGGTGCAAATGTTTATTTTGATGCAGCCGGTGTACAATCAACGTTTACAACGGGTATTGCATCTTTGAGAAAGGGTGGTAGAGCTATATTGATTGCATTATTTGGAAAACCAGTGACATTGAATGCTTTCGATCTTGTCTTGCGTGAAATAACTATTAAAGGAATTGCTGCCTATCGACATATATTTCCTGAAGTAATTAAACTTATTGATGGTAAACAAATGGATGTTGAACGAATCATCACAAAGAAAATCAAGTTGGATGATATTGTCAAAGCTGGATTTGAAGCTTTAGCATCCGATCCTTCGGAAATTAAAATTTTAATTGATATTGCTTCTAATTAACTCTCTTGCAACGATTCGATTTTCATAGAAAATAGCTTTAATACCTATATTGTTACGTGTCTGAATCCTCGCTCAATGAATTCGTTGATATTTTTAGTATGTCCATTCATTCATTTTTTTTCTTGTTTATATCATCACATAGGTGGTCGTGTTTCATATCGAGCTAAATAGTTTCTCAAGTTAGTTAGTTTTTCTCTTATATGTATTACACAGTAGGAACTAGATAAAGAAATAAAATTTCAATCTTTTTTGCTTTCTTTTTGTAACATTATCTTTGATTCTTTCCTCTTATTTCTATGAAAAATAAACGAGATTTCGCACTGATTGATATGTCGTTTGAAGAAATTGATACAGAAGATTGGACAATGACTTTGCTAGAATGCAATTTGAGTCATCCAAGCGTCGAGGAAGAAATTACTGATGATACCATGAGGAAATTTACAACTCTGGAATAAAATAGAATCAAAATCTTTGAATGCTGAGTTCTAGGAGGAGTATAGGATCGTCGAAGAAGTGATAAAAGCTTCGAAAGATAAGACAGTTAGTCCTACTGATTGCTATCGACATTTCATCGTTGACGAAATTCTTAGCGTCATAGTTCACGAAACTGATCAATGCACAGAACAATCCTTGCAAACCTAAGAGCTAAACAGACAATTATTGAAATGGAATTGGTATAAATGTCCCAATCGATTACTACTAGAGCAAAAGCAAGTTGTATGGATCCGAAGTCATTCAAAGTGGACTGTCAAGGAACAAAAATCTGAATTACTTCTCAGATTTTACCATTTTTCGAATATTGGCGAAAGGTATGCAGACCAAGATAGATTGGTCAAGTTGAAATAACCATTTTTGAATTAATAGAAAGCCAGATTTGGGTCAACGAATATTCTTGGCTCCTCTATAACTTTTGACGAGACAATGGTACTCAAGGCATACCAAAAGTAGTGATGTCGGCACTCTAATGCCTTAAAGAAAGTTCGCGAAAACCTTCTCTTCCTACACATTGACGATCTAAGTGTTGCTCTAGAATTCTACCCTATTTCATCATTCTTCAGTTGCTACTATAGTATTGCGAACAATGAAAAAGATTTCTTAGAAGAATCAGTCAATCGACAAACAAACAAAAGGTTGAATATTTCTGACATATCCTGATTAAGTGAGCTGATATTTTTCTCGATGAAAAACAATGTTCATAGCTCGCATTGATCTTTGTCGAGTAAGTGTTATTTTTCGGGAATTTTCGAAAATCAGTATTACAGTTTTTCCTACAAATTCGAAATGCTTGTGGCTGAAATTTTCGAGATACATTGAAAAGCAAGATATGTTTGTGTTTTGTCAAGATGAGAACAAATGCTTCTAGTATATAGAATTAAGGAGAAAGTAAATATATCATTTGTTTTTTCTAAAATATATATATACTGTTTTCTTTCATAACTCATGCGCAATGACATTTATTTGACGACGTCTGTTAAGATATGGGTGTGGGTGAATACAGAAAATATTAGTGTCACACCCACACCCTTGCAAATGTTCACTATTCGACTGTCATCTGTATCTACGCTCATTCCATTCAATAGACAATGAAACTGATATAAGCATGTTCCTATTGCTAAACCCATATACTTCGCATTGGCATTTTTTGAATCGAATAAATCAATACAACCCAAAGTCTGATGCATGTGACATCTTTTGGTATATAGTGTGCAGCATTCTTCCAGTCTTTATTTTACTAAGCAATTTATCATATTCATTTTGTTATCAGTGACTCAGTGCTGCTTGTTGTTCTAATCTTCTGGTTCTGTTTGCGCACGCCAGCTCATTCACATCACTCACCTTTGTTTGTGCCCAAACAACACTGACTCATATTACTCTTGCTATGTCACCTATATAAAGAGATAAAAAGTATATAAAAGACCGTTATTGAAAAAGCCGAGTACATATATACTTTCTCTGAACATGCTTCGAAACATACGAAATCCAGAACAATATGTTCCTCTCAAACGAGTGAATATCGCAGCTATTATTCGATCTTTTGCTGCTGATGTGTGTATCACTCAAGTATTTCGAAATGATGAAACTACACCAATTGAAGCTGTCTACTGTTTTCCAATAGAAAAACAAGCAGCCATTTATGCTTTTGTGGCACGCATCGATGATCGAGAGATTGTCGCTCAATTGAAAGAAAAGAAGGTAGCTCAAAGAGAGTATAATGAAGCTCTCCAACAAGGTCATGGAGCTTATTTACTTGAACAAGATGAAAAATCACAAGACAATTTCATAATCAATGTTGGTGCTCTTCCAGCTGGTAAAGAGTGTCACATTATCATTTCGTATGTCTCAGAGTTGGATCTTGTTGAAAATGGAACCAAAATTCGTTTCGTCATTCCAACAACTATTGCTCCTCGCTACAATCCTGATCAAGGTGGCATTATCTCACCAGCTGATACTTCCTCAAAGTATGTCCAGTCGAGTCCATATACCATTGATTTTCGCTGTCAAGTCGAAAAGATTGGAATCTCTCGTGTCAGTTCGATATCCCATCCGATTCAAGTAGACTTGAGTCAACAAGATTTTTACGTCATTACATTTGCTCAACAGAATACTCATTTGGATCGTGATATTCTCTTAGATGTAGAACTGGATGAAAAACGATCGAACACAATTATTGCTGTTGAATCTGGTGCAATCATGGCTTCGTTTACACCCAGTGAAGAAGATTGTCAACGTGCCATAAATAATACTGAGATCACTAATGAATTTATCTTTGTCGTTGATTGCAGTGGTTCAATGGATGGTGAAAACAAGATTGGGCTGGCGGCACAGGCCATATTACTCTTTCTTAAGAGTCTTCCTATTAATTGTCATTTCAATATTGTTCGATTTGGATCTCAACATCAGACTTTATTCAAAGACATCACTGCTGTCTACAACGAAAAGAATACTCAAAAAGCTGAACAACTCGTGAAGAACATGAATGCAGATTTGGGTGGTACCGAACTAGTGAGTATAGATCGATTTTTCATTTGATTTTATGATAATAAATTTATTTTTCTAGTTACTTCCCCTTCAATGGCTTGAAAAAAACCCACCAGTTCAAGGTCGCGCTCGTCAAATATTTCTTCTTACTGATGGTGAAATTTCGAATGTTAATGAAGTGCTCGATCTTTGCCGTACAATGGCCACTTCAACTCGCATCTTTTCATTTGGATTGGGTTTTTCTCCTAGTCGTTCACTTGTCAAAGGCTTAGCTCGAGCTACAAATGGACGCTTTGTCTTCATTCCACCTCACACTAGTGTTGATGTGCATGTCGGCGAACAGCTTCAAAAGGCATTACAACCCTGCATTACAAACGTTCAAGTCAAATGGCATTTGGGTAACGTAACGATGACAAGCGTTCCGATGAAAACGCCACCTGTTTATGTCAACGATCGCCTTATTGTTTATGCTTTGATGGCAGATAAGTCTACTCTATTCGATCATAATTCAAGTGTCAAGTTGAAGACTGAAAAACACCGACTGGGTAAAGCAAAAGTGGCTCGAATACCTGGTGTAGATAACAGTGGAACGATTGCTCGACTGGCTGCTAAGGCGCTTATTCTCGAGCTACAACATGCAAAATTACCATCATAGGCGTGGAAGAAGAGTCGGAGTTCTCTGCAAACCAGATTTAAAGATTCATGGCAAATTTTAACCACTCGGTAGGTACATTTAATATTAAGTAAGAGGATAATAAACATCGATAAAAACATTTCTATTTGAGACGTTTCGTCAACATCTATTCACATCATCCGTCAAAGTAAAAATAAACACACAATAAACAGTTAAAACAACAAAGTGAACAACTTTATGTAGTATGTAAGAATATTTTTACTTTTGCACCCTAGATAAAGTTGTTTATTTGTTTATTTTTACTTTGATTGATGATATGAATAGATATTCACGAAACATTTGTAATAAAAATGTTTTTATCGGTGTCTATTGTTCTCTTGTTTTTTATCAGATTTAAAAAACATGATCAGTCCACAGCATCTAACTACGAAGATGACAAAACAAAGGAGATAACAAAGCAGCACATTGTCGAATTATCACTTAAATATAATATTCTCAGTCCTCATACCGCTTTTGTCGGTATTGAGAAACGAGTGAACGCAAGTAATGCCGATATGGTCTTGCGTGAAGTGCCCATTCAAATATCGGCTGATGATCAACACTTGGAAGTTTATTCTCGAGTGTATCCGCAAAGTGTTCAACGCAGGTTGGCTGCATCATGGTCAAGTGGGACCAAATATGATTTAACTACCCATTGTTACGATGCACAACAGTATTCACCACCACAGAACAGCTCTTGTCGTATGTCCAGCGACGACGAAGATTATGACCGTCTTTCTCCAAGGAGATCAGCGACACGGGTATTCAATTTGTTTCAATTCTGTGAATCCTTTGTTGAAGTATCGTATGAACCTGCAAAAGCTTAGTTAGATTTCATAAATTCTCATAATACTTGAGCAAGTCGTTATGGGTTTGCACGATACGCAAAAATACATTTGAACTCTAGAATCTCTGTTTAAGCTCCGTATCATACATATTTTATGTTTTAGGATGAGGTGAAGTGTTTATCATCCATTTCAAATGACCGTGGATCTTCTCGTGCTCAAACATGGGATCGCTACGACCCCACAATATATTCTGACGATGATCTTTCCTTAGAAAGTGCTAATACGTCCATCACGAGCAAGCTTAAAGCACAGTCAGAAGACGTGTGGCCTACGAACAATCAGGATATTGTTCGTTATTTGATCGATAAACAAAAGTTTGATGGTTCTTGGGATTTGGATTCGAAAAGCATTGAACGATTGACTGGAAAGCCACTGACTGCCTTTCAACAATCAACAAACAATCAAGTACTCGTTTCAGCTATTGTCATTGCTGTACTTGAGACGCGTTTTGCCTCATTCTCATCAATGTGGCATGGTGTCGTACAAAAAGCGCGTAAACGTCTTATCGATCTTCTCGGCAAGGATATCAAGAAACTTGATATTTTACTCAGTGCAATTCGCAAACAACTTTAAAATTCCATCTCTTGTTCATTCAAACCTATCCGAACAAATTTTATCTTGTTAATCAAGAATAACAACATTCAACAGTTTTAACGCCTTTTATTTATTTCGAATAAAAACTCATGTAAAGTAAAGTCCTAAGGAGTATCAGGGAGCATATATTCTATTGGATTATTATCTCTTTGTAATCATTGTCAGATGTCAAATGACTGACATTTCAAGTCGAAAGGTACTTTGACACATTTAGAAAATCAAAGAAAACTACGAACAGAACACAACGACTGAACATGCCGATTTTTATTTTTTTCATCTCGTCGAAATGTTCGCATAATTATTTTTTGTGTGTTAATATTTAAAAAACTCTTTTCTATTGTGAATTGTTTTCCAACCGATCTGGATTTGCGTCATGGCTGCATATTATATTTTGAAAGACGCTGCCAAATCAGAGTGAAAGTGTATCACCCCATGAATTCCGATCAAAATAATATTATCTCGACATCACTCATATTAATTAGAGGACCTTAGACGAATTTTTGTTAACTATTAACACAAGTTCTTCTTTGAAACGTTTGTTGGTAACTTCGATAAAAACACAGAGTAGATATACCGATATGTGCTCTATAAAATAGTATAAATGTTTAGTTCTTGTCGTTAAGAGCTGTAATAACATTTGCAAATGTGAGATAATATAAAAAGAACCATCTATTATTACATCTGCACCAACACCTACACCCACACCCTAATTCAAATGATTTAATTTGACTTTGGGTTGACCTTGATCATCAGTTTCTTCAATGTCGTTAGTATCATGACCATCTGTCTCTTCCTTTCTGGATTCGGTGATCAATTGAACATGTTGATCACATTCATTTTCCGAACTTGTTGAAGAATTTGATAAATTATCTTCACATTTTTTCCGTTTTTTATAAATATTTTCTTCATATAAAAGATGTAACGTATCAATTTTTATTCTATCAGGTGTTAATATACCCATTTCAGCTAAGGAATTAATGAGCTGTTTACGACTCATATTTTTAACATGACTATTTTTTGTTGTTGTTGAAACTGTTAAATTTTGTTTCTTCTTTGTAATATGCGCGTTGGATTTTAAATTTGTTTCTGTTGCCTTCGATTGTTTTTTGATTGTTGATTGTGGCATGTTGAAAACCTTCAAATTTTCAAAAGATCAGCGAGAATAAAATGAATAAACGTTTATTTGACTGTGACCAAGAGAAAGAATAATGAAATCTAATACTTGACAACAGTAATAATCAAATTTAGATTGAGTGCTTTCTCTTTCTCTTTCAGCAAGTGATTAAAATAAAATATTTCGAGCCTGCATGAATCTTCTTTAATGTCTCGATCTCTCGCCATACGTTTATATTAATTTTATTAAGTCTTTCTTTATAACTATTCATTTCTTAAATCAGTTTTATTAAATTACTCGCTGATATTTATATTAGTAGATGATAACATTTTTTAAAATTCGAATGTAGATAGAACAAATCTTTTTTTTACAATCAAGATAAATTTTTAAAGAATGTCTTGAATGAATCGATAAGTTTAGTTTTAATAGATTTGATTCTACAAAACTAAGAAGTGTAAATCTCACAATAAGTCTGTTTTGTTTTCTTTCCACACGATCTTAGAATAGTCTTCTCGGAAAAAAATTCAATGGAACACGTTCATCAAGCATAACTTTATCTTCGAATCAGTTATTCTTGGGATTGTGCGTTTTAGTTATAACAATTCTCATATCTGAGGCATGACTTGATTATCATTTGCCTGTGTTCGTCGCCATCGATTTAGATGAGTATCCAAAAGAACATATTTCAGTTGTCGACGAAATCGTTCGGAAACGCATATATAAATATAAAATGGACACTAAAAAATGAACAAATTGACAATAAAATACAAACTATTCCTACTTACAGTAAAATATAGATAATAAAACATTACAGCTATAACATTAGCGAATTGAAATTCTGCTTCAGCAAGAGAATTTTGGATAAAAGCCGGATTGAATGATAAAAATCCTAAAGTCATTATTGGTAAGATAGTCATAAATGTAAAAATATCTTGTACAAGAATCATTGCAGTCAATTGTTTATCCAATTCACGTCGAACAAGTGGGATAGTTCGATAAGCAATTTCTTTTACATTCCGATATGTCAACGATCCGAACACCAGAGCAATAAAAAGAGGTAGAACATTGCTCATAATGAGACGATAAAAATAAATATTTAATTGTATGAAGAAACCATTAGTAGCCGTACATGATATTTTTCCTGTAATGAGTGATACATTATGAGTATAGTAAATTAAACATGGAATTGCTGTTAGAATACTGAACATGATACATACTATCGACAGACAACGAGCTGATTTCAAATTACTCCATCGTTGCCAACGAGGACGCTGACAAGTAGCTAAGTATTGATCTATGGTGGCAAGACACAAACACATCATTGATATGTTAGTGCAAACGACGAGAAGATACATTCGAAACTTACAGTAGAAGAGAGAAAGTTGTGTCCAATCGATACCAGACATATTCGTTGTGATACGAGAAAGTAAACCTGTTAGTAATTGACCAATATTAACAAATGACATAACACTAAGATAAAATGCACATGGACTATCTCGAAATGTGCGAAGACTAAGAAAAACGATAGTTGTGAGTAATCCACCAATGACACCAGCGATGAATATCGATGTGCCAGCAAAGATATTTATTTGTCGGGTAACAAAACCGAGAGTGGCAATAAATGAAGACGATGACATAGATAGATTTATTTATTTTACTGTCTGACTGCACTTTTTTTTCTTCTATATGTTGTTGCAGAGAAAATGAAATGACTATCACTATGTACTATTAACTGGTATGTGTCAGATCTTATTTTGTCTGTGTCATGCAATGAAAATTATGTTTGTTTTAAACAATTATTGTCAAAAGATGAAACATTTTCTCTGATATAGATGTATCGCAGGTGTCAGCATCTTTTGCACGAAATTATGAATAGAAGAAAACGAGAATGGGCTCAATATGACGTATTTCCGTTTTTTGATACTATAATAAAGCTGTATGTTCATGATGGCTAATTAGCTTTGTGTTAAAGAAAATAAGAAAACTCTGCACTTGACGTATTGGAATTCATCCATTCATTGCTAATAGTGATGTGAAGGCAAATAATGAGAAGATTGAGAGCATTCACTAGTAAAAATGATCTCGTTGTCTTAGAAAAACTCGAGTTGTTCTTGATCAACAACATCTGTTATCCATAGGTCAGTCAGGTATAGGGGTACAAACAAAATTTCTGGGTCAAATCTACAGGTGTATATCAAGTATAAATCTTTATTCAATTGCAAGTATAAAAAAAAAGCACATATTTAATATTTATTGAACGAATTTCCACATGATGAACAACATTTAGCGGTAAGATCTTGTTGTGGCGCATTACATTGAGGAGAAAATACTGCAGATTGACCAGAATAAGGAGAAAGTGCATAATTATCTTGTCGAACGAAAAATGATGTTGGCTCAGGTACAACTTTATTTGAGTGATGTACTCCATTTCCACTTACTGAAGCAACAGAACGATCAATATCAATCACTAACTGAAAGAGACTTTGATTAAAGTTTATCATAACGGATGAACCGAAAGTTTTAAGACAAAATGTTTGCTCATTTTTTCATCTCATTAGTAGCATTGAAGAAGGGTAAAAAGTTATCAGTTAGAACCAGTACGTTGTGCTGAGTTTCTCTTCAGAGTAGTGACGAAATCTTTGAAAGATCTGAAAAAATGTTTCGACGGCAAAAAAAACAGCTTTTCGCTAAACTTGATAGCTTTCTTTACAGAGATGCTAAAAGCTATTGAATTTGATAGTTTGAATAATCCCACCTGTCATAGAGTTCATCTCATAATAATTTTACGCCTCATCAAGTATAACTTGTGAGTAGATTGATACGTCGTAATGCACGACCCAAGCCTTTCAATATGAAGAAAGGTTTTGTGAGAAGAGCTGCAGACATTCCTTTACATACTGTGATATTAAACAAAGCTCTACCTTGATTTGTGCTTGAGGGGTAAGTGTGGGTGTGAGTTTTGGTGTCATCTGTTTCACATCCACCCACACCCATACCCCACACGCAGCTCGATGGCCTGATTCCGAATATCACCTTGGTTTTGCATCAACATGATAGCTTATTTTCGAAAATAGGAATTCGATGGTAAAAATCTAGGGCTTTTGAGAGATCCATATCATGGGTTGTGCTCATCAGTGAGCAATGGCACTGCAGTGACCGATGAAATACATTTAGACGAATAATTAATGAAGGCTTGAGATTGATTGGGTTAAAATTCTTTGTCACATTTGCAAACTACGGAACGGTTGTTTTTCAAAACCTTGTCAGACTGAAGATTCAACTTGTTCTTTTTTTGAGAAACACTTATTGCTATATATGATTCGATGCAACTTGACCAGCCGATTTCAAATATCAACTGGGCTTTGAGTCAAAATGTCTTGCTATTCGCAAAATTAATGATGCCGAAAACAGAAACCTAGTGTTTTAGGAAACTCCTAGCGCTGTCTCTATCCACTGGTATGATACGGCACAATGGGCAACGATACATCACATATAGGAGAATAATTGGTGCAAATTTTTGCTCAATTGGATGAGAACTCTTTGTCAGGTTCACAAACTATGGCCAGACGATTTTTTTTAACCACGTTTCGGCCTAGTAATCATTACTCTATTTTACTCGATTTATAGTTCGATCGAAATAATTTGTCACACAATGAAGCTTACGAGCTAATCATTCGTTTCAGATAGACTTTAATTTTCAAATATTTTCGTAAGTTGATAACAGAAATTATCATCATATAATTATCGATTTAAGAGCAAATTATTTGAAGATGGACTTTTCTGGAAATCTAGTTTTAGAGTAAGATACACTAACCATAGATGTATTCGTTCCAATATTTGAACTTTGGAAAATAGAACTTGAGGTCATGTCGGCCTGATTGCCTACCGTGCAGAGTAGTTCCCAATAGAGGTTTTGATCCAATTGAATGGATGTCGCTTCTCACGGCATTTGCCCACAGTCAAACATTCTGTCTAATGCTCATTTCGTGAGTTATATTAATGTGAGAAAAATTATGGTTCTGATGGTTTTACCCATTGCTCTTTTTTCAGTGAATCGTAAGCATATTGTGGTAGAGTTTTCGTTTAGAAATGATCGAAATGGCTTTTTCTGATATTTTGCTGTTGTCAAGTATATGTTGCGCTGTTTTCTTACTGATTATTGATATGGTGAGGTTACACTGATGGACCTATAGTTCGTTGGTTTGAAGTTTTGATCTGTTCACTTGTCGTTGTGCTATGTTTTAAGAATCAGTTCATGAGAAACGATTTCTGACTTAGCAATCACAGTGTACAATAGAGCAGCAAAAGCATCGTATCCGCTGGTTTTTTGGCGGCATTGTAGGACTCTGGAGGTGTGTCGATTTGGAAGTACTCATGTTAAAATGTGTTCGAGAGGCATCCTGGTTAGAATCAGATCAATCTGATGCCTGCAATATTTTGTCAGAGCAAAGATTTGAATAAATCCAATCAGGTAGGACTATTTATTTTGAAGAGATCTGGTGGAATCTCTTCTAAAGTAATCATGTTGACTTTTTAACGAAAGATGTCGACTTTCGGTGCAATCCGACATCAGAGCCGATCCTTTCCGGTCAGATCTACAGGTCAGATTGAATCACCTGGGTAATGAGATTAATAAGCAAAATTTCATAGTACCCTCAATAGACTTTAGAAAAGGACAAAGACTGAGCCCACTCTGAACAAAATTCCCGGCTACATTACTATCTAACTGTTTTCAACGCAATGATCTTATAGTTTTAATGCTAAACGGTTATAAAACTTTCTAACACAAGTTCGGAGAGAACACATACTCGTTTTACTACCTTTAATTAATGTCTTCAAGCATTTATTATTGAGAGTTAAGAAAAAGTAAATTAGAAAGGTTGGGAAGTATTATAAGCTTCGTTCGTTTACGTCATTTTTTTTTCATGCAGTGCCGCCTTTTCCACAGAGGTTCTTGAATATATTCCTGATACCTGACGGCGCTTATGTCTTTGTAGAAGTTTGCACTGCTGGTGCTTCTTCCATTACAGTTGAAGTGCGCGGTTGAACTGAGGCACGTCGAGGCCGATCAGCACTGTCGACAGTTTTGTTGCTGCTGGCTACTGTTGGACGTGTTAGATCCGATGGTTCTCCTGTTAGAGACGATCGCCGTTCTTTTCCTCCATCAGGAACTGATGATCTACGTTCACTACTGTTACTGTTGATTGATGCACGACGGGTTGATGTTATAGTTTGGCGGATAACTGGAGCAGTAGGTGTAGTTGTTTGAGACTGTTTTTTTTCAGTTTTACTTGAAGTCGTACCCATGATGAAAACGTGTATGTTTGAATTGTGAGAAGAAGAAATGAAACATAACAAAAAAACACTAAAAAAATAAAAAATCAGAATAATAATGCACATAGAAGGTCCATGACAACGACGATTGTTTGTTGACTTTTGTTGCTTTCAAAAGCAAAAAAACAACTCTCTTCTTCTCCCTCAACTTTTTTGATGCATGTGTTGCCATACATGTACAGGAGTGGCGCAAAAGTCAGTTTACCAAAAAAAAAATCGAACATCTCCATTATGGCTCGAGAAAACGAGCTGATTGTTTTTATCAATGATAGAGGCATGTTCAAGCTTTATATTCACAAAGACAAGCCTAGAGAGACCATTCGTTAAGTACCACAAGCGGTTTCAACAAAAAAATGTTACTTTCTTGCAGATAGGTAAAAAACAATATACAAGGTGGTGCAAAAGTCAGTTTACCAAATAAAAATTTAATATCTCCATTACGGCTCGAGTAAACGAGCTGATCTTTTCATTAGTGATAGAGGCATGTTCAAGCTTTATATACATAAAGATATGCTTAGAGAGACACTTTGTTAAGTATATTGGTTTTTCCTTGTATCTATGGAAAAGTAAAATTTTTTTGTTGAAATCACTGATGATATTTAACGAATGGTCTCTCTAGGCTTGTCTTTGTGAATATAAAGCTTGAACATGCCTCTATCATTGATAAAAACAATCAGCTTGTTTTCTTGAGCCATAATGGAGATATTCGATTTTTTTTTCGGTAAACTGACTTTTGCGCCACCCTGTATTTTGGTTAGTAACATATAGTCTTCGAAAGTCTCTTCTTGAGTCTCCTAAAAAGATTGTCACATCAATCGCTTACATCTATAACGGTAGTAACGAAGGGAGAAAAATGATTATAGAGTAGATTCTTTTCGATGAAACACGAATTCAAAAGAACGCGGCACAAGCTGTCTTACTTAAGGATGTGGATGTGGGTGTGGGATTGGGTGTTGGTGTGGGTAGAGTGTGCGTGTGGGTGGGTGGGTATGGGTGTGGGTGTTACTGTTATCATTGACACTTACATCGACACCCACATTCATCCACGCCCACACACCACACATACAGCCACATCCACACCCACCCACATCCACACGCACACCCACACCCACCCACACCCATACACCACACCCACACCCACGCACACTCACACTCACACCACAATATTAGATGCAAACCCAGAAGTTAAGATATAAAGTTTGCGAAAATTCGGCCATTTAGTCGGAAACTGACTGAAACATAAAAAGCTGGGAGAATTGTAAATAGTAAATCCGAAAACTACGGAGGCGGACTGATATAGAAGCCGACTTTAGTTTTCATTTTGCGTTGTGAAAAGAAACAAGAAGGGTGTGTGGGGGGTGTTGGCGGTGTGGAAGTGGGTGTCGGTGTAGATATTTTGGATGAAGAGATGTCCTATACCAATACCCGCACCCCACATCCACACCCACATTCACAGCCACAACCGCAGTCACACCCACACATCCACACCCACAGTCACACCCACACACTCACAGCCACAGCCACACCCATCTACACCCACACTCAAAAAAAAAGCTTTCAAATCGACTCCATAAAATGAAATGCATTGCAAACGTTTGAGTAAGATCACAAAAATCTGCACAAGAATCATTCTTCAACTCGTGCATTTAGTTTTGAAGTGTTTGACGATTAATTTGTAGCATTCTTATCTGGCCGTGGATTTCTGTCACCATGCATCTTGACTCTTTCTATAGCATCCATGATCCAACTGAGAGATGCATTAACCTATATAATAGATTATATACAAATGATCATCAAAAGCATTCAATTTTTACGAACTTGTTTCGATTGAAGATCCATATTGGTACGAAGATTTTCGACGAAGACATTTTTCTGAAATGAAATAGGTCAGTACACACGTACAGAAAACAATAGGATTTTTTTTGACTACATGTATACTGTTTTTACCTAATGTTATTTTTTAATGGTATCAAGTAAACTATTCTCACGAGTGATTCGAATTGGTCACTTTTTAGTCTACATGAAATTTGATTATGATGATCGGAAATTAAAATCTATTTCTAAAAAGATTTAAATTCAGGAATTACTGGAAGTTTTATTTCTTGCGATGGCAAGAAGCTCAGTAAAGATTTTCAATTCAACAGTTCTATGATTGCCTTATTCAATTATGTGCTTTGCATTGATGACTAACACTGCATCTACGATACTATAATTCGGCTCGCATTGCGAAAATTTAATCAAAGCCGTGAAAATCATATTCTTTTTACATACCAACGGAGTAAAGAATCGCTTAAATGAATTTTCTCTCGTTAAAACTTTGAATCGTTGAGAAAATAGCTCGTAAAAGAAATTTCGAAAACTTTTTACTACTTTTTTCGTCTTGTATGTACAAGGTTTGCTACGCGACAAAAGATAATTGTTCACTGTTCTCGGACATCGTATATACATTTGAATCGTCCAACAAGGTTTTATTTGTTAATAAAACTAGATTTTGTGAACCAACTGCTTTGAAAACTTCTTCTGAGGCTTTTTGCAATATTCCTCAGTCTTATTGAAGATGCCAGCCTTTGATCTTAATTCCTTTTCAAGTTATGACGAAAAAAAGTGGTTTCCTTGTTCTCTCTTAAAAAAAAGATTATTCTTGATCGTGCCAATATTAGACGTTCATGTTCATGTTTTACAAATTGAGTATTTTACTTTATTCTCTCTCTTTTTAACTCAAAAAATGTTTCAATATACTAGAGACTGATCCTTTTTGAAAAAATATTACTTTGCACACTTCATCTCACTAAGTTATTTTTGTTTTGAAATCTATCATCATAAAAGTCGGAAATAAAGAATCAAAATTAGAGAAGAGTTTAATTTGTCACGAACTATATGACTCCTGTCTGTTGACTGATCCAAGTATGTGAGTAGGCTACTAAGAAAAAAACGTTTTCTACGAATAAGATCTTTGAAAATTTTTGGAAACTGAAAAATAGAACTATTTGTATTTTTAAATTACTTTTTCATGTCGAAATTTGAATTGACACTTCATTAGGCAGACCTTCTTACGATCTATCAAACTGCTGTAGCACCTGTTATATTTGAAGGCTTTCCTTTTTTCATAAAATTTTATGTAGGCCGTGTAATTACCTGGTTTAGCTGAATTTGCATTTCGATCATTGTCGATCGCATGAACTTGATCTCTTCCTTTAAATCGGTATTTGTTTCTGGCTGTCTTTCAGTTCCAATCGATTCCATATTTTCCTTCATTATCTTTGCAGATTCTTTACTGAAGTAAGTAAATGCAGATGAATGAAGTATTTTATATTGTACTTTTTATCGAGAAACCGTACCTTAGACTAGTTTTTTTGCCAAAAGAATCGATCTCACCATTAGATTTATTCTTTTCTTCAATACTAGATCTTGCATAACTGTATGTAGCTGCATTTTCAAACATGTCCCAGTGTTCATCGAGCATGCTGCCATTTTCGGCAATCATTTCTACAAAAAAGATAAACCTTATTTGTGATCGAATAAAAATTTCCCACTGATAACTCACTGAAAACAGACGAAGCGTTTCGAGCGTCATCCTTTTTTCGATGATCATTTTCAATTCCTATATGATTTCGCTTGCAGCATGTTTCCTTACACTTTCGCCATACGAAGCGACCTAGCATGAAGATGTGCGTGAAAAATATCAATGGTGGATAGGCCAGTATTGGTTGATCAAAGTATTCCCGAACAAATGAGTAGCGCTGGTAATGCCAATAAAATTCAGTATTATGTTGAACCTTACCAATTGTATCGCTAGACAAACCGTATGAAAACTTTTTTTTGAGCATTTAACAAATCCTTACCTAAAAACGGCAATCAGCAAATTCAGGAGAAGAATATTGATAAATAACATATGAAAAGCAAGAAGAACATGAGTAGCTGTAGCCCCAGCAACAACTGTACTGCTACCACTGGTGATTAAATCTATATTCAAAAAAAGTCTAGTTTGCTATGAGAAATCAAGTTGCAACTTGCCATCAAGCTTATTTGTGTCTGAAACTTGACCATACATGAACCAATAGGTTGGATAGAAAATATCTCCAAAAATGCCTTTTCCATCGAAAGAAACTTCATTATACATGAAGAGCGATCGCGATACTACTCCGTAGGCAGCAATTGCCACGAATATAATGTATAAAAAGGCGAAGAGATCTTGCAACTAAAATAAAAATGATTGATGATGTATTTCGCCTATCCGAATGAAAAATGACCATATTTTTTAGCATGAAAATCTTAGGACCGAGAGATTTTATTGCGATGATGAATTTCAACGATTGTAAATACCAAATCTCAAGATCAAGAGCTAAAATGATCCTTTAAAAAAAGAAAAAATTAGATCAATATCATTCGTGAACAACATATAACAGACCGAGCTACAGTAAAAAGATACTCGCTATTTTGAGAACCGAAACGAAAACCGATGCCTGTATAGAATAACACGTAGGGCAAAATGTAAAATAGACCCGTCATTGTGGTAAGAATATTGAATCCTGTATAATTCCGACGTTCAGTCATCTTGCACACATAGTTATGCCATGACTGAAAAAGATACTTAAATAGGTTGAAAGCAGTCATGTTTGAATTTGTACCTGGCGCAATTCTTCGCAAAGCATCGTTGAAATAGTGATTATGGTGTAGATTTCTGTCCAATGCGGTGGCCTAACTGTCAGAGGATCAAACTTATAAAGCATCATGTAGCTAAAAACCAGTAAAAACCAAATGTAGAAAAACTAGAATGAATAGATCATATTTTATCATGAGTAGAAAAAGAACGAACGTAATTATGAATAAGAAGCTTACAAAATGATAGCCCATTTTAACCATTGGACTCGTATGAAAATAGATCCATCGATCAATCAAGCCTACACTCGTGAAACGTTTCTTTGGTAGCTCTTTCTCTATATAGTAATTGATGCCTTTTTTCGATAATCTGAAAATACACAGTAAAAAAATCATGATTATAGATTGATTTGATTACATACTTGAATTCAATATTCGCTTCCTGAAACGAAGAACTTAAAAAATTGGTGATTTTATTCGAAATTACATACGAACCGGCATAATTCGATCTTGTTTTTGCTGATATTCAATGCAAAATGGAGCGGGCAAACCTACTAGAAGAATTGATAGAAGTGAAAACGGCTTTGTCATTGCATGCGTGTTCGATGTGGCCAGCTTGTCATACCAAACACGGTTAAGGGCTTCATCGAAACATGCTGTTTCTAACACATGCATGCTTTCACTTGAAATGGCGACCTATGTCATATTGATAAGGTACTTCTGTGAAACGGTAATGAAAATTGGGCGATTGTAATTAAATAGTAATTCTAGAATAGTCATCATTTATAGCTATCAAAATATCACAGTGATTGAATTTTCCTATTTCTAACTAAGAAAATTTTTTAGATCGAATAAATGAACGAAAAATAATAACGGTAACAATGTATAACTAGTTTATTCAATTTCACGAAGTCAAAATTTGATTTACATTGGATAACATGAATATCGTGTTGATTAACTTTCAATCTATTCGAATTCAAATCATAATGATATGTTTTTCGTGAACGAGAGTGTATTTT